CTTTTTTAAAGACCATGACTTTAAATAACTGCTAATTGTTTCCAATTATTATTATAATTGTACTTATGCTAATTACTCACTTTTCAAACAATCCTTCAGGGTGTCTATTTTTTTGTAGCTCTTTGACTTAGATTTGTGCAAGGATGCTGAAAGCTGTCTAAATGTTAACACTGACAATTACCATTTTTTTAAAAAAAGCTTTTTAATCAAGGCACTTTTAGCTTGCAAATAAATTCTAACACCTTGATTTATGCCTGAATTTGGATGCCAAACAGTCCAGTTTTGCAAAAGCCAAAAAAATCTTGGAAAATTTCTTCTGCTGTTTTAAATGTTTCCTTCCACAAACACAGGAAGGCTTGGAGTCACTGATAGGTGGAGTTTTGGAACCCCAAAATATCAATTGATTCCAGACATCTTTGATGGTTGCTGGAGGGTGAGTAGGTGAATAGATGGATGATGGTAGCTCAAGTGATCCAAAAGGAAACTGCTATTAACTTCACTGAAAGTCCTGTAAAATCAGTAAAATTGATAAAACCTTTCCAAACTACTGTTTCAATTAAAGGCTTTTGGTTCTGCCTGTTTTCTCATGTAAACCTTGGAATCGTAGCAAGCATAGCTATTTACCTTTGTTACATAAAGTTGCTTTGGGAATTTATAAACAATAGAACTGGGTTTTTTTTCACAATTCTTCCTGGATCTTTTGTGTACTCTCTTTCCCTGTCAGGAGGGCCTTGTCTCCTTCGAGGATGTGGCTGTGTATTTCTCCAAGGAGGAATGGTCTCAGCTGGATCCTGACCAGAAAGCTCTGCATTGGGAAGTCATGCTAGAAAATTACAGCAGTGTGGCCTCTCTTGGTAAGGGTCTTTCTTATTCTCCAGTCAGAGACTTCAAGAAGCCATTTTGTAGTTGGATACCACTGGCTGTTTCTTATTTTAGAAAATCTCAAATAGGTGTTATCTTTGGAGAGGAAGCAGGTAGAAATATGCCGTTCTCCTGCTCCTATGAAGGAAATAAATCTCTGGCATTCTCTTTAGATGCCATTTCACATCTGATGTATTTTCTATTTCTGTTTAAACATGTCAGTGACAAAGTAATTCCTTGGATTTATGCAATGGATTTACATAACATTATAGTATGTAATGTTCTGGAACCCACATTATGTATCTGATATTAACACAGTTGAGAAAATCCAGAAATATTTCACAAGAAGAGTTCTCCACTCCTCTACTCGTTGCAGAATACCTTATGCCACCAGGCTTGATATTCTAGACCTAGAAAACCTAGAACTACTCTGCCTTCGGTCCAATCTAAGTACAGTATATAAAATCATACATTGCAATGTCCTACCTGTCAATGAATACTTCAGCTTCAACCATAACAATACAAGAGCACATAATAGATACAAACTCAAGGTAAACTGCACCAAAGTTGATTTCAGGAAATACGACTTTAGCAAGAGTAGTCAATGTCTGGAATACTCTACCTGACTGTGATTTCTTCCCCAAGTCCCAAAAACCTTAACCTTAGACTGTCTACTATTGACCTCACCCCTTTCCTAAGAGGTCTGTAGGGAGCATGCATAAGCGCACCAACGTGCCTACCGTCTCTGTCTTATTGTTTCTTTTTATTTTTCTTATATTTATCCATTTCATGTATTCATAACTATGTTAATGGTTATACTTATTATCTTGTAAGCGATTAACAAATCAAATAAATAAATAAATGCTAAACTCCATCACAGGTTTCAGCCGTTTTGGCTCAGATAATTCTATATCAATCCTGTGAAGCCGTGATGGCACAGTAGTTAGAATGCAGTTCTGCAGGCTACTTCAGTTGCCTGCTGGCGGCCTGCACTTTGGCAGGTCAAGTCTTATCGGCTCAAGGTTGACTTAGCCTTCCCTCTTTCTGAGGTTGGTAAAATGAGGACCCAGATTGTTGGGGGCAGTAGACTGACTCTATAAACAACTTAGAGAGGACTGTAAAGCACTGTGAAGTAGTACAAAAGTCAAAATGCTATGACAGCCTGGTGTTCAGGTATGTGGGTTAACTACTTCTATTTGATTTCTCTCCTGCACCTTGGAATTAGGGATGAAATGGGGCCAGTTTTGCATTACAAACATGAAATTTAAAGTAAATAAAGAATACTAGGTTCCCTCACCCCCTTCAATTATGTGATTTTGGTCAAGGAAAACACAAAATGCAAATGGAACATATTTTGTGTGAGAAGAAAAAGATGAGTTTCAAAGGGAATTTAGTTCTCGCAGGTCTCTGCTGGAATTGGCAATACATGTAAGGTTTTCTCCTAATACATCTTCAGATGTTTCCTTTGATTTTTCTTTAACTCAGAGCTGGCTCTTGTTGAGATTTGAATATGTATGGATAAACAAGAATGTTTTCTGTCCTTAATTATGCTTTATTAATGTGGGAATTATCATTTATACCATTGTAAACAATCAAACATGTAATCTTAGAATTTGCAAAGTTTCAGAAGGCAATAATGATGACTTCCGACTGGTCCATTTCCTTAACCTTGCTATCATATTTATTTCTCTTTCCCCTTGAAGGTGATAATGAGCAGGAGTATGAAGAGCCAAGGGAATCATTCCAAGGGTTCACACATGGAGACGTAATGGAGAAACCTGCAACTGAAACGGAATTCCAAAGGCAGGAGAGAAACCCCTCAAATATTTGGAATAAGGAAAGCTCATCTTCCATTGAAGCTCACATGGAGGAATTTCTTGACGAAGGGGGAAAAATACAGAAAAAATATATTAGGAAAGGTATAAAATTATCCAAAGACACATTAGAGATCAAAGAACATTATCCCTCCACATCTAAAGGACAAGATAATACATGCAAACACAATGGAAAAAACTACAGTTGGGATTTCCCATTTTCTCAGGAAAATGGGTCTCTATTATGGCATAAAAGTGTTCCCTTCATGGAGAATCTGGAGAAAGGCATAGAGAATGGAAGGAGCTTCTGTGAAAGGAAGACTTTTACTGCTGAGAAAAGGAACCAGAAGGAGAAACCATATAAATGCATGGACTGTGGAATGGGATTCCATAAAATTGCATCCCTGATGAGACATAAGATAATTCACACAGGTGATGCACCATATAAATGCATAGAGTGTGGAAAGGGCTTCAACAAAGAGCGTAATCTTACATCCCATGAAAGGATCCACACAGGAGAAAAGCCATATAAATGCATGGAATGTGGAAAGACCTTTATGCGCAAAAGCAATCTTACTGCCCATAAAAGAATCCACACAGGGGAGAAACCATATAAATGTAAGGAGTGTGGAAAAGGCTTTCGAGATAATGGGTCTCTTGTGAAACATAAAACAATCCACACAGGGGATAAACCATACAAATGCATGGAGTGTGGAAAGGGCTTCTGTACACACAGTAAACTGACTAGGCATAAAAGGATCCACACAGGAGAGAAGCCATATAAATGCACACAGTGTGGAAAGACTTTTAGTCAGAGCAGTAACCTTACTTCCCATCAAAGGATCCACACGGGGGAGAAGCCATATAAATGCATGGAATGTGGGAAGAGCTTCAGCAAAAACACTGGTCTTACTTCCCATCGAAGGATCCACACAGGAGAGAAGCCATATAAATGCACACAGTGTGGAAAGACTTTTAGTCAGAGCACTGCCCTTACTTCCCATAAAAGGATCCACACGGGGGAGAAACCATATAAATGCATGGAGTGTGGAAAGGGCTTTACTTTAAACCATTCTCTTACAAATCATCAAAGGATCCACACTGGGGAGAAACCATATAAATGCATGGAGTGTGCAAAGTCTTTTAGTCACAGCCATCAACTTACTTGCCATAAAAGGACCCACACTGGGGAGAAACCATATAAATGCATGGAATGTGGAAAAGGCTTTAGTGTAAACTATTCTCTTATTTCCCATAGAAGGATCCACACAGGGGAGAAACCATATAAATGCACACAGTGTGGAAAGGGCTTTACTTTAAACCGTTCTCTTACATATCATCAAAGAATCCACACAGGGGAGAAACCATATAAATGCACACAGTGTGGAAAGACTTTTAGTCAGAGCGGTACCCTTACTTGCCATAAAAGAATCCACACAGGAGAGAAACCATATAAATGCACACAGTGTGGAAAGGGCTTCACTTTAAATCGTTCTCTTACATATCATCAAAGAATCCACACGGGGGAGAAACCATATAAATGCACACAGTGTGGAAAGACTTTTAGTCAGAGCGGTGCCCTTACTTGCCATAAAAGAATCCACACAGGAGAGAAGCCATATAAATGCGCACAGTGTGGAAAAACTTTTAGTCAGACAGGTGCCCTTACTGGCCATCTAAGGATCCACACAGGGGAGAAGCCAAGATAAATGCATGGACTTTGGAGAAAGCTTTAGGAGGAGAAATGACCTAATTTTCCATACAGAGATAAGCTTGGGTTGAAGGTATGTTAATTCTAGAAAGTTAGTTACATTTATGAATTTTCGTATTTACAGAGGCTGAGCTTTTTCTTAGCTTGATCATTCCTATTGTCTGACCAAGGAATATGAATTTTATAATGAAAATAAAAACAATGGGCAAGTGCCATTTTAATTATGACCTTGATTATTGATGGCATCTATATTTAAGTATGATTTATTTACTTTTCAAAAGTGAGATTCCACTCCCCATTTGTTCTTCCCACTTGATCACACCTAAAAGGATTTAAATTCCCCTTCTGTATCAATTGTTTCTCATTTTGTCATTCATTAAAAACACTCAATTAGAGTACTTTTCTCTGTCCTCAGAAAAGTTGGAAATGGTGAAGCAGAGAGATTTTGGGCTTTCTAAAATATGTGTATAATCCAAAGCGAATTCAAGTTCCATCTAAGTACAGAGTGAGGTAGAATTTGAAATTGAGTTGTCCCATTGCATTAACAGTGACAAGTCAGAGGCTTTGTTTGAATTTGTCATGATTCCCCCTCTCTCTCTTTTGTCCGAAGTTAGGGATACTCACTAAAAATAAAAAAGTGATGCCTGTGCTATCCAGCCAGTATATAGTTAATGGGATGTGGGATAGTTAGGAATTAGGAGCTGTCCCCTTAAGGGAATGCATCATGGTAAATGTAGTTAAAGGTATCCTGGGAAATGTAGTCCATGTCATGTGGGCACATCTGTAATCCTGATTGGTCACTGAATTGACTCTTGGGTTGGGGGAGGTTTTTCCACTCTTGCCTGGAACCCAGCAACATGCTGCTGCCTCAACCCCTTGCGCCTTCATTCTGGGGATGAAAGATTACCCTCCTTTTACACCAGAAAGTCAGCTATGCAAAGAATTGGACATTGAGATGAATCTCGACGTAACCATGAGTTATCTCAAGGATGCCTGATGAACCAATAAAAAGACTTTGTATTGATGCTTTGTGGAGTGATCTGTCTACTTTATAATCAGTTTATGATTGTAAGGTCCAGAACAGTAAAAGGATGGTTTATATCTTCGAATTCCCAAGACAAATAAAAGGTCATTTCTATCTCCAAATTCCCAAGACTAGCAAAAGGAATATTGCTTATCTGGACTCCCTCAATAAAAAGACAGTTAATTTAGACTCCTAAAAGTAAAGAATTATTGTTATATCAGAGTCCCTGTGAAGATTGATAGCAATTTGATTTCCTGTGATAAAGGCAATGGTATATTGAAGCCGGAAGTGAATGTGGAATGCTAAGCTCTCTGTGCCTCCTTCTCTTTGAGCAACAAACTTTGCAAGTCTGTTTGAATTGGCAGGGAGGGGCCAGAAATCCCCCCTTTTTCACAAGAGACTTTCAAACTTCCTATTCTCTGGCTTAATTTGCATCTTCCCATTGCTGGCCCAAAGAACTGAGATAATTGAGTAGGGCTGAGACTGTTTTCCTCTGATCAAAGTTTAAAACCTGTTTGAATTTGCTGAATCAATGTCTGTTGGCAAAAGGAGAAGGAATTGAGGCAAGAAGCCAATATGTCCCTAGCCCTTCATCTAGAAACAATAAGGAAGATTTTCACAGGAAGCGGGTAATAAAATTCCTTACATTCCTCATTGCCATAGAAACGGACTGCTAGCAAGTCATATAGTCATTGTCTTCAAACCCTTACAAATGCAGATGTGAGAGGCCTCCCAAGCCTACTTCGTGAAGAGGAAGTGGCCCATAAAAATGCCTAGCAGTTAGCCATTTCCATAGAAATGGGCTGTGATTCCCCACTTTGAAGACAGCATTTTAAAGATTACAGTTTGCCACTTTTCCTTCCTGATAGAGCCAAAACGATTTGTTCCTTCTATTGGAATTAAAAGGCTATCTATAAAATTAAAGAATAACCGCCTACACTGCTCAGCAAAGAGAAATTATTTAATCACAGTGTTCATGCAATGTACTAAAGTATTGCATCTCTTTAATAATCTTTCATCTCAGCTTAATTGATTGCCATTCAACTAATAGCCTACAGCACTATCTGGTGGCAAGTAGAATTTTTTTTTTTTTACTAAGCTTTAGCAACTTCTCACCACTTTAACCCAAGGGTCCAGCATCACTGATAGGCCAACTTATGCAATGCATCAATGTTATGTATATGTAAATAACATTGTTGGGTTGACAATAAATAAACTACATATATAAATATTTGTAGCTTTAAGGAAAAATACTGCAATGTATTATGCTGTGTTCTGGTTGGTTAATTATGCTACAAGTTGCCATAAGAGGGAGCTATAGATCATGGTTTAATTCTCTTTCTTTTTCACTGATGATCTCTCTTGATACTGATACTGACTGAACTATGGACCAATACTGACTAACCCTGTTTATTTTGATATTCTGTTGATATCAAAGGTTATTTGTTGTATAATAGTTTGATATCTGTCTGCTGTAAAAGACATGGAACTGGTAAGAAGACTTTATAACTGGATATTTCTGGACTGTTAAAAACATGTATGACATGGACTGTTTATTGGACTGTGCTATTTCTTCATAAACATTAATACAATTTGGTTAACTCTGTGTGGCTGTATATTTCTTCATAACTGTTCTTATAAACTGTTTTCTGTGTACATATCCTTTTTATACAAGGGTTACTCTGCACATATCCTAACATTGGTTATGGGCCCAGTGAGATCTTGAAAACCAGTGTGAATATACAGTTTCATATTCAGACAGCTATTTGTGGTTTATTGTTATAGTGGCACAAGAACAGTCAACCAGTCTATCCCTAATAACCCAGTTGGATGGAACAAATTATGTTTCCTGGTCTATGAAGTGCAGCCTATTTCTGCGTAAATTTAAAAAAAACCTGGACTGTAGTGAATAATCCACTGGATGTAACAACTTTGGGTTCATCAAATGATGAAGATAAAAAGAAAATAGATGAATTTAACTGGGATAATGAAAAGGCTCTTAGTATAATTGGACTGACACTGAGTGATCCGCAGCTAGTCCATATTCGCGGTCAAGAATCTGCTGCTAGATGTTGGGACATTCTGAAGAAGATTTATGTTCGAAATACTGTGAGTGCACACATATACCTTACAAGTAAACTGTTTCAAGCTCATCATAAAAGGTGGCGATATGTTAGCTCATTTGGAATTTATGAAAAGGACTTTTCAGGAGCTACAAGAAAAAACTGATTTTTTCTGAGTTGCAACAGGTTTATATTATTCTTTCTTCCTTGGATGAGACTTACGATGATTATGTGTTTTCACTGCTAGTTTTAAACACAGATGAAATTACATTGACTGGCATAACTGGAAGACTGTTAGAAGAGTCAAGAAGAAAGCAAGATAGAATTCAACTGAGAGAAAGACAACCACAGGAAGAAAAACTGTCTTCAACTGCCTATATTGTTAGGAAATGTTTCTCTTGTGGGGCTAAAGGACATTTAGCCAGATACTGTAAAAAGGGTAAGAAACAGAAAAATATACAGAGAGTTCATAAGAATGTTAATTTAGCAATATCAAATATAACTACAAATGTAAATCATGACATACGGGTAGTTGCTAGTGGAGCATCGCAGTGTATAACTAAAAGTAAAGAGAGATTTGTTAGCATGAGAAAGAGTGTACAGCATATATCATTAGCTAATGGATGGAAAATGAAAGCATGTATAAATGAAAGTTTATCAATGTTATATGTACCTGGAATGAAGTTTAATTTGCTATCTGTAAGAGAAATGGAAAAATGGTAGTAACATTTAAGGGAGATACATGTTTAATAGACAAACAAGGTAAAAGTATTACTGCAAGATTGGAAAATGGTTTGTTTATTATAAATGATGATCCATCAAGTAATGTTAACTCAGTTTATGAGAATAAGAAGCCTCATGATGAATGTATTCATCTACTCCATAGACGTATGGGACATATAAATTTCAAAATGATCAAGAAAACTGTTGAGTACTGTTTACTGGTATAGATTTAAAACCTTATATAAAGTATGTAGATTATAATACGTGTAATAAAAAGGAAAACAAGGTAATTTCTGAAAATATGGTAAATGGACTGAAACCAGTAAACTATTAGAGCAATGGTTCCCAAACTTTTTCAGTCCACCGCCCCCTGGGTGCTACAAACTCATCCTCAATGCCCCCCACCCAGGGGCAGGATTCAAATTTCTGTGAGCGTGGCCTAATTTAAGGGTGTGGTTTGCTGGTAACGTGATTGGATGGGCATGGCTTGCTGGTCACATGATTGGGTGGGTGTGGCTTGCTGGTCACGTGACTGGTAGCGTGGCTTGCTGGTCACGTGACTGGGTGAGCGTGGTTTGGTGACTGGCAAACCAAATACAAGTGGTCCTCACTTAATGGCCGGTTGCTTAGCAAGTGTTCTAATTTATGACTGGCCTCCCCAGAACTACTTGACCTGTTTTTGGAGTTTTGACAGCCATGCACACACATACACACACACACTCCCTTCCAACCATGCTGGAGCAGGTCATTGAACTAGAATACGCAAAGCATCTCTGATTAGATTCTAGTAGTGAATAAAATCTAATCAGAGATGCTTTGCTGATTCTTGTTGATTTGTTTTATTTGTATTTCTTTATTTTACGTTGCTGAATTGCATTGACATGTGTGTCCCTTCTTGTGCACAACCCAAAAGCTTTTGTGATTCTTTACAGCAAAAATTACCGACCTCTGGCTTTGCTCTACTTTTCAAATATGCTGGCACTGCCGCGTTCTAGGTGCTGGCCCCGCAGGTCCACCCCATTGAGCCCACTGCACTGGAGGGACCTGCCCAAGCAAGTCTGAGCGGAGTGGTGTACCAAATCAATGGGGTGAGCCTGAGAGGGAAAGAGAGAGAGAGAGAAAATAAAAAGAAGGAAGAAAAGAAAAAGGAAAGAAAGAAAAGGGGACGAAGAAAGGGAGGGATGGAGGGGGAGAGAGCGAGAGCTGATGCATCAGATTGAAATGAGGCCTAGTTTAGAGGCCCTTTTCCACACTGAAACATCTTTGCCAGCATCTTTGCCAGCACATTGAAACCTCTTTGGCTTCTATGAAAGGTTTTGTGGATGAAACATGGTCAAGACTATCAGGAAGCTCTCACACTTTGTTGAGGCTTTAAACAGGATCCATTGGACCAGATCTCCACCCTAAAAATTACTTTTCCCCAGTGTATTACAGTGCCAATTCCGAAGAAGGCAAAACCAAAATGTACTGGTAAGTTACAAGGAGAACACACACACACTCTCCCTTCTAACCCTTCTGGAGCAGCTGATTGGACTAGAATAGATATCTCATTATCTTTCTCCTCCCTCCCTCCTTTATTTCTTTTTCTTTCCCTTCCTTCCACACACCCCTCTTTCTTTGTCCCTTTTTCTTTCTTCCCCTTTTCTCTTTCTCTCCTCTCTCCTCTCTTTCTCTCTTTTCTCTCTCTTTCCCTCTCTCAGACTCACCCCATTGACTTTGTGCACTGCTCCGTTCGGACTTGCTTGGGCAGGTGCCTCTGGTGCAAGGGGCGCAATGGGGTGGAAATAGGCAGCAGCGGGATGTTTGAAAAGGACAGCAAGGCCACTCTGGCTTTGCTCTCCTATTTCCAACGCTGCTTTCAGGGCGACGGCCCACCGCCCCAAACACAGTGGTGGGATGTTTGAAAAGGAGAATAAAGCCACTCTGGCTTTGCTCTCCTTTCCCAATGCTGCGTTCTCCTTTCCCAACGCTAAGTTTGGGGCGGAGCTCCTTGC